TTGTCTGCCACAGGCTGCTACTGCAAGCTTTAGGCCTGCCACTTCCACCATTCAAAACACAATTCTCCCCAAATTTTTCTCCCTTCAGCTTTCTCACCTGGTCACACTAATGCTAAGGATGTAATGGAAATCAGGGCCAGGAGGTTATTTGAGATTTGTTGATTGCAGGTTGTTTTGTACATTTTTTTCCCTCCAGGTCTGTTGACAGCTATAACCAGAACGCGAGCACTTTGAAAAGGTACTTGTGTTCCAAGGTGCTGTGTTTTTACTTTTATGTAAGGTTTAGCAATTGAATAAAAGCTCTCCAGATCTCTGCAGGAATRTGTGCAATTTGTCCATCATTTCTGGGTTTCTAGTGGTATTCTCAATGGGTAGAAGTGCTTTTTCCATTTTCCCCCTCTCAGTTCCAGACAACTTACGTAGATAGTGTGTCGACAGGTGTTGATGGACAAGCAATTTACAGTAATTTCTTATGGTGCTTATTCTGTAGCTCCCTGAATTGTAAGTGACATGCTGGCAAAGCTGAACAACTGATCACCAGACACTGGCATAGCATTAAACATGGCTTCTGAGGCTGCTCAGAATTTCCTGCAGCCACTGTCTTCCTGGATGTCTCAAATATAYGAAGCGATCCAACAGGCAGGAGACTCCATATCTGCCTCGCTGCTGAATTTGAGCGGAGTGGGTCGCAAGCCAGAAGAGGAGAGGACCCAGGACTTGGAGAATAATGGAGGCGTTTATGAGGATTATTCTGAGGAAGCAGATGATGAACGAGACCTGGACCTCTGGGATGAGGAATATTTGTATCCTGGAGAAGATGGTTACATTGGAAGCCCCGATCTTGCTTCACAAAACCTCTCTCATGGCTCTGACACGGGTCCACAGAGGCAAAACCRGATTAAAAACAGCAGCACCCTGCCAGAGCAGTGTCCTGAATGCACCAGGTCCTTGACAGCCAATGGATCCCACTGGATGAGCGAAGATCTGCAGCCTCTGGATCGGCTTTCCCCCATTGCTGAGGAAGAAGGTGAGCCCTCTTTGAGGACGGGAGATCACGAGCACAGCCTCAGCTTGGGTGGYTCCTTTGCAGGTAAGGATTATCCACTGCATTATCCACACCTTTCTTTCTTGCTATTGATTTGATTTAGTCACTAACCTGCTCGTTATGTTGTGTGTTGTCATTGTTTCCCACAGCTAAAAAAAAACCTCTTAAAATCCCAAGGAAAAATCTAACCTTTCCATTTCTTCCCTGGTTTGTGAGACTAATCTCACTGAAATGAGTGGAATCTCCAGGGTGAAATGCTGAGTATTAAGAGGCAATCAGGCCCTGTTGCTGTAGCAAGCAGTATTTTTCTGCCTCCCTGTTCAGTTTCTGGTAGCAGGACCCTTCAAAGAGAATGTTTAGCCTTGAGCCTTTGCTTTGAGAGCCATCTGCCTTTGCGTCATTGCTATTAAAGATATATATATATATATATATATATATATATATATGTGTATATATATAAAAAAAATCTCAAACCTTGTTTCTTTGTGCCAGGAATCTCAAGATGTTACTGTGCCATGTGCTGTGAAATGCTGTGCTAAAAAGCCAGCCGTATCTCATGATTTTATGGATGAAAGGCTCCCAAATCGCTTTCCTCCCCTCCCACCACCCCCACAGGCTTTTCAAACAAGACTGAAGAGGACAGCAGGCAGGAGATTAAGGAAAGGAGAACTGAGTTTGATATTTTCAGTTTTAAATAGGCCTAACTCCTGATCTTTAAATGACAGCAGGAATGTTTGCAGGTGACTGTGCCCAGGACTGTTTCAGCCACATGACTTTTGTTGGTTCAATGTCCCCTTAAATGTGGTTGGAGGCTTCCTGGGTCACAAGATCTGATGGAGATGCATGTCCTGACTGCACCCAGGAAAGCTGCAATCCTGCTGGCACCATCCTTGGGTCTTGCTGGGTTAAAGCTGCTCTTTACAAACATCCTAGAATGGGAATAAGGGTGGGAAGAGTATGGGGGAGCTGGGTCTACAATATGGAGCTGCTGCAGAACTTGAGGCTCACTGAGGATCTACAGAATTTGGCTTCAAATATCTAAATGCTTGTTGGTTTGCTTTTTTTTTTTAAGCAGGTGGTAGATGCTCTTGCAAATTTGTGTTTTATTATGACCAAGAGCTTTTCATCAGCCTTGGCTTCTAGGGAACTCTTACATATTTAGCCTTTTCTGTGCAGGCTGTGAAAGATCAGCCTGTTTGTTTCTGTATTTCAATGGAATATCAGACTGAGAGGGTACAAACCTTGACGRTGTTCTTTAATGGCTGTAAAATTAGCTCTTTTCTTTATTGCTGTTTCTCGCTCCGTTAYGGCCAGGGAGTAAATAATTAAAAAGCGCTTTTGGTCTTAGCTGTTCCTCCTCCCAGAGTGGCACCACTTTCTTCATATTCCCAATGAATGATTGCTGAGCTCTCTGCTTCCACACCAAGCACTTCATGGAGCATTACACAGCTTTTTACACCTTAGGGAGTGTCATTCCAAATGCTTCCAGACAGACTTCAATCTTTTTATCTCTGCAATGTGCTGCACAAGGGCCATCCGATGGTCTCAAGACTTCATAAAGGTGGCTCTTTGAGSGTTAGAGGGCTGGGAACCCATGCCTTTTTGTCTCAGCACAAAGTTGTATAATGAGAGAGAAAGTGCTGAACTGTGATTTGAAAATGTCTTCCACAGACCCTTTGAAGTGGAAGAACCCGCTTTGCTCTTCTAAGTGAACTTTCACTTCCAAAACACACGTGCTCTTTGTATTTTCTTTTTCAACTCTTTATTTCCTCTTTTTYCTTTAGATTCATTCTCTAACATCAAGAGTGTGAACTCTTCTGATGGTAACCTAGACATGCAGAGAGACTGTAATACCCTGGCAACTTAAAATTTCAGTCATGGATTAAAATGATCAAGAGAAGATGTTYGAGGTATCCTTATTTCTGTTAGCTTTTTGCCTAACCCTAAGTGACAATGTAAGTGACACATGGACTTGCTGACATTCAGCAAAGCTGTTCAGTAGCATCAAAATGAGCTTTGAACATTTTTTCCTTCCATTTGGCAGTTCCCCCCCATTTCTGCAAAATACATGTTTCCTGTTTACCCTTGTATTCTTTTCAGAACATTGCATCTTGACTTTATTTCACTTAATGTACCATATTTCTCTCCACAATAGAATATTTTAAAGCTAAATTGGCTCAAAACACTAGCAATGCTGAATGCTTTTTGTTGCCATGGAAATATTTCTGGGCACTTACTGAAGACCTGGTTGCCAATAGTAATGTAACAGAGAAAATAGATATGCTTCATTTAGCAGCCACTGGTGATTAAAGAGCCACAGAAACCCCTTGCAAGGTCATTCCAATATATAGTTTATTGGGTTTAGGGGGAAAAACCCCACAGCCCTAGGTGARAATAGTTTTGTTCTAAAAGAGATGCAAAACAAAATCCAATAGATGTTCCCTTCCCTTAAACTGACAGCACGCTTCTGAGATGGAATAAAATAACACTGTAGTTAAAAACCATCATTACTCCTTCTCCTTTTTATCAAATGTGTGTTTGATCCCATTTTTACCTCCTAGGAAATGTTTCCTGGCTCCCAGAGTAGACTTCCTTAGGCTCTGAAGCAGAACACGCGTTACTGAAAACCATTTTTAGGCTTAGGGATCTAATAAATTGTTTGAGCGATGAAATTCTTGGGTTTTTAAGTCAAACGTCCATCTGACACCATGAGGCAGGTTAACCACAGGGTGCAGGTTTGGCTGCTTCTCAGTCCTGGTTTGTGATGAAATGATGCTGGCAAAGTTGTAGCAAGGTTTCAAAGAAATGCAAGGAAAAGTTGGTTTGGTTTTTTTTTTTTTTTTTTTTTTTTACTTTGGATGGTTTAGATCCATCATTTAATGCTGAGAAGGTAGCTCAGCAGGAAATGCTGTGGTGCCAAGTGTTTGGTTTAAGAAGTTGGTGATGGGAAGGCAGAGTCTCCAGTGCGTGCAGATCCCTGACATCACTGGCAAATCATGGAGCTGTGAATTTTGCAAAAAGATATGAATTGCTCTCGTGGACCCTTGACCATTCTCTGACCTCAGTGTTTGTGACAGAGAAGTTGTCTCACATCCCAGAGCAGGGAAAAAGCAGACTTTGCATTCCCCCAYGGCTGAGACACTGCTGCTCAGCTGACTGGGGGTGGCTGCCACATCCATCATTGCACATTTGGCTTAAGAATTGAAAAAAATAAAACAGCCCACCAAACCAAACAGTGGAGCAATAAAACACATCTGAAAATAGTGTACTGYGACTGGAGGGGTAGAGGTGGCCAGTCTGTCTGCTTCCCAGCATGAATCTAAAGGAGAAAAAACAGCAATGATGAAAAAAGTGAAGAACAGCAATAACTGTGCAATACCGCTGTCCTTTGCAAACAAAAAGCCAAAGTGACCATTAAGCTCTCAGTCTCACAAGATACTGCCCCAGAAAGGCACAGGGACAGACACAGCAGCAGARCTGAGCCTTCTGCATCAGAGCTGAGCTATTTTTGCCTGGTGAGTGCTGTGATGGAAGTCTCCCAGGCTGTCTGACCCTGCTCACAGCACACAGGTAGGGGAGCACGGCATTTCTGCTGCAAAAAGCCCTCAGAGGTTTTTTCCYCCATCGATTGGACAATCTCAGTGCTAGCCAAAGGCTGAATTTCAGTCATAAAATAATTTTAGTGGTCTTGGAAGGCTAGGAAGTGTGACATCCCTGTCTGGGGGGCTGACTAGTTTTCCTCAGCTCATGTGTGAGGGGAGGCACGCCTCTGAGCTCTGGGAGTTTTTAAATCTAGAAAGCGCTATTGCATTTACTCACCCTGGCCTCCAGCTTAACAGGGGTCATTGATTTTTGCCAGTAATTGCTSTAGTAGAGGAAATTATTCTTTCTGCTCTATATGAACACTCCTGACCTCAGTAAATGACCCTTCATAGGGACAGGAAATCCTAGGCAAGGAGTGAATTTTTCATTAGGTCCCATAAACCCATATGGCAAAATTAACCCAGAAGAAAAAGATGTTGATTATGTGATAAATTAAATTTYTGCTTGAACTTGAGACTAAAATAGATAGATGGCCAGTCTCCACAYTGAGGAGTGAAGTGTTTATGGATTTTATCACCTGTCTGGGTATGGAGCCAGCCATAATGTTCTAGCCAGAATGTAGCCCTATAAAAATCAGCGCCGGTACTCCAAGAAGGACATTTAAAGAGGCTACACTGAATCAATGCCACCACGAGGAGCGAGGGAGTGAAAGCAAAGGCAGACAGTGGACAAAAACACTTCAGAGAAAATACTCCTGGCAGCTCGAGTGGGACTGAGCACAAACGTGACTGGGGACAYGCATGCGGTGTCTGAGGAGTGCGACACAAACTCGTGGCTTTCTGAAGTGCAGACGTGAGTTTGCATCGAGTACTTTCTCTCTGAGGAATTCAGAACCTCTCCAAGTGTTTGTGCGCAGACTTCTGGCCTTGGGAAGGTGGTACGATGTTCCTACTTGTGTGTAAAGCACTCCTTTGCAGTTCTGTCTCTTCAGATTTTCAGATGAGGAGGGATCTTCATCCAGGATGTGAAGGGGGATGAGAGAACACAACAGCCCTGGAAGGAGGGTGGGTTGTGGCATGTCAGCTTTACAGCTGGGGAAGGGAAGCCAAACAGTGGCCCAAAACTCACAGGTGGTGCCTTCACCTTTGTTTTGGGCCTGTCAGCATCACTGTTCATCCTCAGTCAGTGATTTTGGACACAGAGTCTTTGTCAGCCCACAGGAGATCAGCGGTTTGGTTTTTCACCAAATTCATTGTCTGGTGGGCAGAGCTTCCTCGTGCCCATCTCCCTGGGGGCACGGGGAAGGATGCTCTGCTCAGGAGCTCTCATCATCTTCTCTCACCATCTAGAAAGTTGCATAAGCTGTGAGGAGAAGGATTTATTCGAGAGGATGAAATGGATTTTGCCGTTCGGTGCCGTTGCAGAACAAATTGTGTGTGAGCGTGTGTGTTTGTGCATGTATTTTCTGATCCACTTTCGCTAAGTGACATCCTCTTCCCACT